AAAGGGGTTCTACAACTTGTCCAATGAAATAGACCTCGTGCACAGCCTTTACAGAGTATAGGACCTTAGGTGGAATCCTGAGTCCCATCCAGAACCTTATGAGGTGGGACATTCCCACTAGCAAGGACAAGAAGATTGGAACAGCTACAGTGACAGAAGATACATCTTCAAAGAAAGATCATCAGGAAAAAACCAGAACAAAAATGTCAGCATGACTGGCTACTACAAGAATAAGCAAGGTGTTCACCAGGAAGCCATCAAGGCTAGCAATCAGGTGCCTTCAGGACAAACTCCCCTCTAAGCTTGCTGGCGACCATACTGGTCTACTGGTGAGTGGAAGAGGTGGAAAGGCAGCAATGAAGAAATGGGCTGAGTTCAACCCCAGTCCATTGAATCCTGTTGACCTGGAGGTGAGAGAGAGAAGATGAAGGGCTGTTTGGTCCAAAGTGTGGTGAGACATGAGGACACTTGAGCCTATGGACAAGGACTTAGCCACAGAGGTCTAGAGCTGAGAGTGAAGCATCCAGCTGATATGAAGTGAGGGGAGATGCACAAGAACATCCAAACTTGCAGACAGTACCCTTTTGACCTAGCCTCGATGGCTCGATAATTAGAACTCGACTAGAGGAAGATTGGGAAAAGAAAAAAAGGAAACAAGGGTAAATTGCTTCAATTTGATGAAACTGACCTATACTCAGAGCAGTAGTTACTCTAAATACCAACAGAGAGGGAAGGAGTCTTCACATCAAATATCAATGCTATCCGCTCTGTACACAGGGTAGATAGGGACAGGCAACTTTGACATTGGCTACCTAAAATGAGGGGGCAATAAAGGCACCAAGTGACTGGCTTACAAGGTTTCAAGAGGGAGTTTAGTGTAAGAGTATGGGGAGAAAGAAAGAGTCCCCACTGAATAGCTGTCATCTTGTCTAGAAGGGTCTGGTGAAAAGAGATGGGAATAAGATTCGTACGATTCAATAGTGAATAACTGTTATCATGACTAATTGCAACTGTCACAATTGTAAAGGTAGAAGTTTTGTAACAAAAACAGGGGAGTGGTTAATCTTACAGTCCAGAAACAGAGGACCCTAGGACCATCAAGAGAGAAACGCACAAGCAGAATGCGGAACCTTATCCAGAGAAGCAGCAGCGCCAGAGATGGAGGCAAGAGATGGAGGCACAGATGGGGTCATGGAGAGAGAGAGAGGCTGAGGACTCTAATTTCATGGGAAGAGAGGGACTAAGAGCTGGTGGCCAGGAGGCAGACTTGCCTTTGGAGATGTAAATTATTATATATGCCTGAGGGGTGTTTTTTGTTTGTTTGTTTTTAAAAACCTAAAGTGGATAGAGAGAAAAAATGTTAAATAATGTATGATGGTACATGAAGGGGATTATAACCATTGTAATGAAACAAGGTATGTGATTTGTTGAATGTAAAACTGATGATATGCCCTGTAAACTTTCACTCAATCCACAATAAAAACCTTAAAAAATAAATAAATAAGTCACTCTTGTCATCTCTATGCTCAAATCTTACAAAGACTCTCTTTGTAAGAACCCAAAGGTTCTTCCTCTTCCTGTCTTCTCTCCTACCACATTCCCCATCACTCACTCTGTTCTATCCACATTAGCTAATTTACTATTTCAGGCACAGTCCCACCTCAGGGCCTTTCCCTCTACCTAAGATGCTCTCCTTGTTGATAAGATCTGGCTCTTTTTCTTATCTCTGTTATTGCTAAAATGACATTTTCTCAGTCTACCCTCATTATCCCATGTAAACATGCAATGCCATATGTCCCCATCTGCACTTTGACACTCCTAAGGCCTCTTAACTACTGACCTAGTCAGTTGTCAATTTTGACTCATGGCAAGTCCCTGTATTTCAGAGTAGAACTGTGTTCCTTAGGGTTTTCAATGGCTGTAATCTTTAAGAAGTAGATAGCCAAGTCTTCCTTCTGAGGGACTTCTGGATGGATTTGAGCATTTAACTGTTTGCACTACCTAGGAACTCCTCAAGTCCTCTTACCTGATCTTATTTTTTCAGAGCACTTATCTCCAACCATAGTATATACTTCATTTGTTTATTATGATTTCTGCCTTCCCCTACTAGAACTTTAGCTCCCAAGGAGCAGGAACTTTTGTTCATTTCATTGAGTAAAGTATTCCTAGCACTTACAACAGTGCCAAGTGCTCAATACTCGTGGACAATGGAATACCATGTAATAGTGAAGAATAACAACGCATCTGCAAAAACACCTCGTAACATGGATGGACCTGCAGGACGTTTGCTGAGTAAAACTGTTGTTGTTGTTAAGTGCTATTGACTTGGTTCTGACTCATAGTGACCCTGTATTAGGTTTTCAAGGAGCAAATGGTGGGTTTGAAGCATCAACCTTGTAGTTCAAACCAACCTTGTTGTCTAGTGCATTATCCTGCAGTGCCATACTAGGACTCATAGTCAACCACACCAGGACACACTGTCATCCACAAAAGGACAAATATATATGAGGCCACTATTATAAAAAACAAAGAAAAGGTTTTTATACTAAAAGAAATATTATTTGATGTTTACTAGGGGTGAGAGGGAAGGGAGAGTAAGTCATTGGTTACAGGGTAGATACATGTTAACTTGAGTGATGGGGAAGGCAAAATATAGCCAACATTACTAAGACAGCAAGATCGGGCAGTGTTCTCTTCCGTTGTGTATAAGGTTGCTATGAGTCAGAATTGAATCAACGGCACCTAACAACAATAACACAGTAAGACATGTAGTCCTGGTGTGATGCTGGAGGATAAGCACTGGACTGCCAACCACAAGGTCAGCAGTTCAGACCTACCAGTTGCTCATCAGAAACCCAATACAGAGCTGGTATGAGTCAGAACTGACTTGACAGCGCTCAACAACAGCAACAGTAAGATATGCTCGCTTGTACCTGTGAACCATTCAAGATCAAAAGGGCATTTACCTAAGGAAAAGGTTTGAAAGGGATGGGAAGGAGGGTGGAATGGAAACAAGAATCTCAGAGAGGAAGTGATATAAATGATGTTACATGGAGGGGACTGTTATCTATTGAAATGATGTGTATGATTTGTTGAATTTCAAACTCGTGATCTTGCTCTGTAAACCTTCATTCAATTCATAGTAATAAGTTTACCCTTCTCCCTATTAGACTGAGACTGCCTCAGGACCAAACTCAGTGCCATCGAGTTGGTCCTGACTCAGAGTGATCCTATAGAGAGAGGAGACCTGCTCCTTATGGTTTCTGAGACTATACATTTTTACAAGAGCAGATAGCCTCATCTTTCTCCCAAAGTGGCTGGTGAGTTTGAACTGCCAACCTTGCAGTTAGTAGCCCAATGTTTAACACACTGTGCCACTAAGGCTCTTTTGCATTACCAGAAGGCAGGGAATGTATATTTTTTTGACCCCTAATAAATGTAGGTCGACGAAATGAGTAATGTGTATGAAAAAATGGTTGTAACAATGAACTGGCTGTGTGTGTGAGGCAACAAAAAAACCAAAAACCCAAAGCCAGTGCCATCGTGTCAATTCCAACTCATAGCAACCCTACGTAGGGTTTCCCAGACTGTGTATCTTTGTAAGAGTAGACAGCCTTCACATTTCTTCTATGGAATAGCTAGTGGGTTTGGAGTATAGCTAACCCACAGGGCCACCAGGAATCCTGTGCCTGAGATACAGGGGTGAAAAATTATTAGGTGTAGCAAACAGCCCATAATGAAGAATCAAAATAGATGAGTGAAATGGCTTCAGGACAAAAGGGTGTACCACAAGACAAGAAAAGAGCTTAGTTATACAAACTGAAACTTATATAACGGGCAACAGGGAACTCCTGGAAGGTACTTGCTTTTCCCTCAAATAATAAAACAAATTCAATGAGACTGCTTAGCAGGGTCCTACCCTCTGAAACCTCTCACCTGTGGCACTGTGGTCTCCAGGCTGTAGTGCTTATTCAGGAACTTCAGCAGTTTCTGTGAGGGTCGATCAATGGCCAGTTGGTGTGGTTCAACTCGCTCCTTCTGCAAGGTAGAGAAAGCTCAGTGTAGAAGGTATAGGAGTGTAGGAGCAGGAAGAGCCATGGAAAGGAATAGGAATACATGGGGACATGGAGGGGGCGGGGGCAGGCAGAGCCTCTAGAAGGACTCAGGCCAGAAGGCCCTTTAATCTCTCTTTTAGATGGACTCTGATAAACAGAGTTGAGCAATACCTGCAACATATGTTGGAAGAGTTCTAGCCCATGGCCATGACGTTGAAGTGACTCATGGATATAAAAGTCCAAGATACAAAGTGGTTCCACCTCATTGTGAGCCTCACGATCATCCTAATAGAAAAATAAATATTTTTTAGAACCCAGGCATCTTTGCTGTCTCCCAACCCCCAGTATCTTCAGTCTCAGAAACCAAAGCTTATGAAGAACAAAGCATACCAGGACAAAGAGCTTCTTGTATCCAACTTTGAGAAAACCAATAATGGCTCCTTTTCCAGCCCTGTAGGATGGGAAAAATAATGAGCAAGCAAGTACCAGTTATTGAGGAACAACAGAATCAAACAAGGAAAAATAATTAGATGAAGGAGGTAATATGAAGTAGAAGCACATTTGGCACTCACGATCGGGCTGAAGTGTCTTTGAGCACATACATGACATGGCGGTTACTCTGCATCCTCAATGCACTGGTGATAGGAGCAGGAAGATGCTGAGCCTGCCAAAAGGATGACAGTTTATGCATGTCCTTTCCAAAGGACCCAGTATTTCCTTTTTCTACTGGTCCCAAAGAGCTCCCCCCACAACTCCATGTTAAGATTCCCCAATACCTTAGCAGAAGCCTTGCCCAGTTCATCTACAATTGTCATAATTTGCTGCTGCAGATCAATACTATAGAAAGAGAAGAGAGAGTCAGATACTCACTGAATTAGAGGGTCCAGTCCAACCCATGGTCAGTACTTAAGGTTCCCTGCCTGTCTTTGAGTCTTCCAACTTGATTCTCCACCCTATCCCTCTGAAACTTAAACTTTTGCGACATCTCTTTCCAATGTGGAACACTCCTCCTCTCTGGAGGTTATGGGGTAAAGCAGAAAGGAGGAGTAAGACCATACATTGGGTTCCACTTTTGGGTAGCACCACATATTGGATGAAGGTGTGAAAGCTCACAGATCCAGGCACTGGTAAATCCCCTTTGGTCTAGTGTCAAGATCACCAAAAGAGCAGGCCAGGACATCAAAATGATCAGCCACTAGTCAGTGAGAGGGGGCGTGGTCCCTGGACAAGATTTCAAGAGGGACCGGGAGAGAAGGGGTATAAGATGCGTTTGAGATGTCACCGGGCCGGCGTTGTGGTTCCGGGTCGGCGGGCCGGGGGCCGCAGGTGCTGATCCAGCACCGTGATCCGCTCCGGGAGCAGCGCGTCCACATCGAACGGGAACTCCATGGCCCATTGTGCGCGGCCGGCACCGCCCCACACAACGTCACATCCGCCCCGCCCCTGTGGCCTCAGCAGGCGGGACCCACCCCCAGGATGTCTTGCCCCCCCCTACTTCCACCCCCAAAGTCCTGACAGTCAGCCCAGGAGACCCCGTTCCCCTCAACAACCCCACTGACTCCTTAGCAACACCACCTCCCCCTCCTCTCACAGTAGAGGGTACCATAGCAACGCATTCTTTCTGGGCTTAGCGGCTAGCTCTCCAGCCCTTCAGGCCCTCAGTCAACAGTTGGGTATAATGGGTGCACGAAGCCACAAAAGTGATCAGGGCAGGACCATACAGTTGCCCATCCCTGGCTGCTTCTGGTCCCATGAGGAAAGATCCCACGGCAGGGATCGGCAGGGATCTCAAGCCTGACTTCTTCCCCTCCCAACAGCACCATTCTAGTCTTCATATGAAAAAGCAAAACCCACTCAGTGCCCCATGTAGAACAGCATTCATCTGTAACTCAGCCTAAAGGCAGCCAGACAGGAGAGACGAGAGCTTTATTGTAGAAAAGCTAATATGGCAGATGTATGAAACAGAATGTTTGACCCAGCTATTTACAATTGAGAATTGAGATTTCCCATACCATCAGTACATCCTCCAGTCTCAGGTATTTTGTGGCCACTAGCCACAAAACAAAAACTCTTCAGGGTGACATGGACTATAATCAGTTGTCATGATGTACTTTCTTGATACTATCTCCTAGTCCCTCAGCCGCCCCTCCCAGTAGACTGCAGCCTCTATGGAACACTCTGGACTCCGGCCTGATCCATAGAGGAGGTTTCCGCTGGAGATGTAGAGGGCACTTCAGGCATTGTCTCAGGCGGGGGGCCACTCTCTTCACGGAGATGGCCCTGGTAAAGACGGCGGAGGCGGGACAGCTCTCTCTCTGGTGGTTGTTTCCAGCTATACCATGGGTACCAGGGATCTCCTGAAACCAGAGTGGGGGCTGGTGGAGTACCACTCACAGCTCCATGAGAAGTACTGAAGTCGAGGTCACGGGGTTCAACCTGGGCAATGTGGTAACTGAGGAGACCTAGAGGAAATTGTTTTAGAGAGAGAGGGAAACAGGGCAATAAGAAAACAGGTGTGTGAAGAGGGACCCAGGGGGCAAGTGTGAGTTGATAAAGCCTGGGCTGCCTGCCAAGCTGTGCAGCCATACACCAGGGCTATGAAACCATGTCTACCCTAGAGAAAAGAGGGAGGAGGGAGGCACTTTTATCTAGTTTGTACAAAGGTGCCATTGAGCCCAGGGCCTGAAATTTATGCAAACATTCTCCTATGATCTAGCTGTGGCCTTGGGATCAGTGCTTGTAAGTAACAGGAAGGAAAAGACAAAGAACAAGGGGACAGGGCAATGACATAGTACAGTACAGTAAATTCATATGATCCTTCTATCAAGTTTTTGGAGTCCTGGTGTGGCACTATGGGATAATGCACTGGACCACAAGGTTGGTTTGAATTCCAAGGTCGACAGTTCAAATTCACCAGCTGTTCCTTGGAAATCCTATACAGGGTCACTGTAAGTCAGAACAGACTCAATGGCATTTAACAACAACTACAACAGCTAGGTAGCACAGTGGTTATGAATCGGGCTGTGAACCACAAGGTCAGAAGTTCAAAACTACCGCTGTTCCGCAGGAGCAAGATGAGGTTTTCTGCTCCCATAAAGATTTACAGCCTAAGAAACCCTGTACAGGGTTGCTATGAGTCGGAACCGACTCCATGGCACATAACAACAACAACAAACAATAGCCAATCTTTGAAACTACTAAATGTTTGGGTGAGATTATGCAAATGAGATGCTTGTGGCCCACCTGTGTGGTGCTATAAAATCAGCATGGACTTTGAAGTTTGCTATTGGAATGGGGTGCCAGCAGACACTTGGCAGAGCTAGACTCACTGAACCCATCAAGCAAAACAGCTGACCTCTTTGGTCTGAGGCTTACTGGTGGAGTGAGAGACCTCTAGACATTTATTGGTGGAGCTAGAGCTTTGTAACACTTGCTCTAGCTGGGCCAAGGTGGCACCAAAAGCCTGAGCAAGGCCTGCATGCAAGCACAGCTGAAAAGGACCTATTCTGAACAAATAACTGTATCCTGAGTCTTTCTTAATCCTGAATTGTAACCTTTTACTTCCTTAATAAACACCATAATTGTATTGTCTGTGAGTTCTATGTGGCCATTGCAACAGATTATTAAACTTCTAAAGAAGGAGAGGATACCATGGGTGGGATGGCTGTGCCAGAGTTGGTAAACAAGTTGGAGAGAGGAGGTATACATGACCTCTCCTTTGGAGGAATCAACCTGACTGCTGATCTCGATTCTCCTTATCGTGATGTTAGTTCAGCTCAGATGCCTCCACTATGCCATTTTTATACATAGGAAGGGACTCAGGACAGGAGCGAACAACAATGGACTAAGGAAAGAGTTTACTAATAACACACTAACTTCTCAAAAAGGAGCATGAGGGCTCTATAAGATAAGCAGTGAGCTGTGAACCACAAGGTCAGAGGTTCTAGCCCACCAGCCACTCTGTATGAGAAAGATGAGGCTTTTTGCTCCAGTAAAGAATTACAGCACCAGAAACCTTCTACGGGTCACTACGAGTCAGAACCAACTTGACAGCACTTAACAACAACAACCATTTTGTTAAATAAGTGGGATTGTACTCACCCTTCAGTCCTAACTCACTGTCTTTCTGCATACCAAAACTACCATTTTTGATCATTTCATTTCCTTTGTCCTGTCTAATTCATTGCATTTGGTTCCTAAATTCTACTGTAGTCCTTTTAACTTAACAATAAAGGGAAGTAAGAAATTACTAAAATGAAAACATTCTCTAAATAGGTTTGCAAATCAAATGTGTCTGGCTTAGTATGATGTATGTTTGTTCAATTTGTTGAAACTTGCTTGCATGTTTAAATATGTCATTGATGCTTTAGGAAAAAAAAAAAGGAAGAAAAATTCCGTGTGCCCTTCTCATGCTCACCATGCTCCCTGGCTTTCTGGATGGCCTGGGTCAACCTCTTGTGCTGTTTCATACAGACTCCTACAGGGAGGAAAGAGATGAGTGGTGAAAAAGATAACTCAGCACTAGTTCTACAAGGCATAGTCAACATAAGAATAAAACTACTTCTGTATGGAGACAGAAGGTTGGGTTTAGAAGACTTGGCTCACCTGATGACCCCTTTCCCTAACCCCTCCATGGGATTCATCTGCCTAAAGGGGAGAATCCTCCCCCTCTCTCTAAAGAGCTGTAATGAAGATTTTGGAAGATCTAGTCATTATAGAGGAAGGATAACTAGATGTTACAGATAGAATTCTACAACCCCCCAAAATATGCATTGTAAATTCTAACTTCTATGCCCATAATCTCACTTGAGAATGCTTGTCTTTGTTATGTTACTGAGGAAGGATAGAATATGGTATAAGAGGAGGCTTCAAAAAAGTTTGTGGAAAAATGGAATTAAAAGATAATGGAACTTTTCCAAGAACTTTTTAAAATTCCCACTGTATCTTGAGTCAACCTCTTTTGACAGAGAAAGCCGTCTCCTAGAGCCGACACCCCGAATTTGTACTTCTAGTATTCTACAATGTGAAAAAATAATCTGCTTGTGAAAGCCATACATTTGTCGACTTTCTATTATAGCTGCACTAGATAAGACACAGAGCATTTAGAGAGAGATTTCTGACAAGATGGAGGACTAGATAGTTGTAATACACGGACCCCCTATATCAAAGATACAAGAGACCAAATATAACAGACACAGATGAAAATCCTGGAACGCTGAACTTCAGAATTGAGTGCTTCCTGGGAGGAGAAGCTGAGCAGGGATGGCGAGAGAAGGAAGCTGACTGGTGAATAGTCTGCCAGATGTAACACGACTATGTTGAACCTTTATGAGCAGCTTTGGTAACAGAAGGTGGCTTGGCAGAGCAGATTCACACAGGAGATGGGAAAGAAGACAGCAACCATGCCATAAAGCCCAGCTACATCCATACCCTCTGCAGCTCTACCCACTGGGCAAAAACCAATAGCAGCTCCTACACCACCTGATCAGTGATAGACAGCAGCCAACACCAGTCAAACCCAACATTAAGCTGAGGGCACACACATTCATTCTCTAACTAAACCCATAGAAGACAGTTGGTGAGAGCCTAAGAACACATCAACATACAATCATCAATTACATACAAATATAACACCACAGTGTCCCAGAGAAAACAGACAACTTTAGTTCACATAAAGAAACAAGAGATGGCTCAAGTAAAATGACCAAGATGTAGAGCCAGAAAATGTTTCTGAGTCTTAAAGAAAAAATAATGCAACTGAACGAAAAAGAATGATATTTAGGTACTTCAAAGGACTGACAGAACAATCAAGGAAAGCAAGGTCAACACAGAAAAAAACCTTAAAAGAATTAGCAAACACTACAAGAACAAAAAACAAAATAAATGCAAACTTTGAAACAATAACATGCAATTAGAAATCCAGAAGATTAATACTAAGATCTCAGAAACGGACAGTACATTGAAAGCGCAAAGGAGTAGATTTAAAGCAATGGGCGCTCGAATTAGTGAACTTGAAGATCAATCTCTCAATACTAGTATGCTAGAAGAATAATCAGAAAAAAAGAATGAAAAAAATCCAAAGAAAGCCTAAGAGTTAGTGAGATGCCACAAAGATGAATAACTTACAAGTGACTGGAATTCTGGAACAGGAAGATAAGATAAAAAGCACAAAGTAAATTATCAAAGAGTTGTTGGAAGAAAACTTCTCTAAAATCATGAAAGACAAGAAGATAAGCATACAAGAAGCTGAAGGAACCGCAACAGATACCCCAAGAAAATCACCAAAACATATCATAATCAAACTTTCCAAAACCAAAGACAAGGAAAGAATTCTGAGAGCAGCTCGGGAAAAAAAATGAAAATTTACTTACAAAGGAGAACCAATAAAATTAAGCTCTGATTTTTCAGCAGAAACCATGCTGGCAAGAAGCCAAAGACATGAAATATATAGAAATCTAAAAGAAAACTATTGTCATGTAAAAACCATATACCCAGCAAAGCTGTTCCTCAAATACATTAGCGAAATCAGAACATTTCCAGATAAACAGAAATGAGAGGAGTTTGTAAAACCCAGACCAACTTTACAAAAAATACTAAAGGGTTTTGTTTTGGACTGAGACCCAACAATAGCAGACAACAGCTTGACATTACCATACATGACACCACCACCCAGAACTCAATCCAGATATAAAAGCATTTTAAAGTAAAGCAAACCTACAAGACTGAAAACAGACAAAGAAAGATATCAATGTATAATGAAATTAACTGCAAAGCAAAAAGAGGGAATAGTGTAAATACAGAACTTCCAAATGGCAGAGAAGTCGATTAGATTTCAAGAGAACACAGATTGTTTTAAATGGGACAAAAATTAATAAATTTCAGAGTAACCTCAAAATTAATATACTTCCACATAAAAATAAAAAAGGAAAATCAGAAAGATTTAGTAAACATTAAGACAACAGGAATGAAAAAGAAAAGAAAACCCACAAACAGAATGAACTCAACACAGAAAATTATGTGGAACAAAGAAACCTGCAGCACCAGAAAAAACCCCCAAAACAAACAAAACACCACACTGCAATATCTATAAATCAATGTACTCCTACTGATAATTACACTGCGTGAAAATAGATTAAATAAACAAGTCAAGAGACAGACAGTAGCAGAATGGTAAGAAAACAAGACCCTCCAATATGCTGTTCAAAATGAAAAAGATGGAGACAGCCTAAATGCCCATCAACAAAAGAATGATAAAAAAAACTTTGGCACATACACCCAATGGAATACTATGCAATGTTGAGGAAAAATATGCTAGTAACACCATGACATGGATGAACCTGGAGCATTATGTTGAGTGAAATTAGTCAATCACAAAAGGACAAATATTGAGTCCACTGTTGTAAAAAAGTCTGACAAAAGAAACAATCTATGATGGTTACCAGGCAAATGGGGGAAGGAAAATTATTGACAGGCTAAAGGGTAGACACCTTAACATGAGTGACAAGACAGGTACTATCTAACAAAGGGGAGGTTGGCAGAGGAAAGTGGAAGACAGCAGGAGACCCAGGAAGGAATACAGAGTTAAAGTGAATAGAGGTTTAGAAAAATAAATTTTAAAAAGACACTAAGCATTTAATGGTAAAAAGGCTCCAGGATAGGGAGAACAGAATTCAAAGGGCAACTGTGATGAATTAAAGGGCTAAAGTGGATAACCTATAGACTAACATCTAATAACACATGAGGGGATTTCCGATCTGGGGATGGTAACCTGAGAATTTAGTAAAAATAGCCCTGATGTGGCGCTGTGGGTTAATGCATCACACTGCAAAGCCATTTGAACTGCAAGGTCGGCGGTTCAAGCTCACCAGCTGCTCCTCAGAAACTGTCTACAGGGTCGCTATGGGTCGGAACCGACTTAACAGCATTTAACAACAACAACCTCCTTTTACAGCTTGGCTAAAAACTCCTTCAAAAGCGCTGACAAAATAAATTCCAAAGATCTTACTGCCACCCCAGTCACTATAGATTCAGATTATTCCTTGCAAATTTATCTTGATTTAGGGCTGGGGCTGGCAAAATTTGCTGTAAATGGCTACAAAATAAATCTTAGGCTCTTCGAGCCCTACAGTCTGACTCAACTATGCCCTTTTTGCCCAACAGTAGTTGTAGACAGTATGTTGTTAGTTTTTGTTGTTAAGTGCTGTCAAATCGGTTCCAACCCATAGCAATCCCGTATAGGGTTTCCAAGGAGTGGCTGGTGAGCTTGAACCACCAACCTAGAGGTTCAAACTGACTTTGCAGCCCAGCACATGAAAGCACAGCACGACACCAGGACTCCTCCAATACAACTTTATTTACAAACAGAGGGAGTGGGCTGGATTTGGTCTGTGGGACACAGTTATGGAATAGGTATAATCCTGACAATGTTTTAGCATGGGAGTGTCACTACTATGCCAAGATTGCCCCAAAATTCAACCACACTGTTCATGTTCAAAGTAGGCGTCACTAAGCAAGGAAATTATCTGTTGTCTGACTGAATTCACAAAAGAGTCCTAAGGCATAGCCACAGAGGACTAGAGCGGAGAGTGAAGCGTCCAGCGGATAAGAAGAGAGGGCATATGCACAAGAACACCTACACTTGCAGATAATACACACTTGACCTGGCTTCAATGGCTAGATGATCAGAATTCAACTAGAAGAATAAAGAAGAGGAAAAAAACAGTAATATGATACAATTTGATGAACTTGACCTACACCTACGGATGCAGTAGCTCAAAACAAGGAACAAAACTTTACAGTGAGGATCATTCCCACCCCCTCGATACACACGGTAGACAGGGATGGGCACGTTGGACACTGGCTACCCAAAATAGGGGGTTACAAAGGCAAGAAGTGACTGCCTTTCAAGCTTTCAAGAGGGAGCCTGGATCCAGAGGGCACAGAGGAAGGCAGAATCTCCACAGAGTAGTATCCAATCTGTCTGGATGGGGCTGATGAAAGGAGATGGGATGGCTCTCATGTGGCACAAGAGTGAATAATTGCTATCAGGACCGAATGTGAGGGTTGGAAATGTAAAGGTAGACATTTTGTAGCAAAAGGAGGGGAGTGGTTGACTTTGCAGTCCAGGAGCAGAGGTCCCTGGGACAATGAAAGGAGAAGAGCAGAATGCGGGACCCTACCCAGAGAAGCAAAGACGCCAGAGATGGAGGCAAAGATGATGACGTGGAGAGAGGGAACGGCTGGGGATTCTAGACACAGAGAGGGAGAGGGGCTGTGTGCTGACGACCAGGGGGAAGGCTTGCAGGGTATACCCTTTGGTTTGTTGAAGACGCATGGAGAGGATTATAACCATGGCAATGAAACAATATACGATAGGATGACTGTAAAGCTAATGTTCTCCCATGTAAACTATCACATAATTCACAATAAAACATTAAAAAAAAAAAAAAAAAAGGGGTCCTAAGGTAAAGCCAGTCTGATAGTGAGGGATAATGGGCTAACCTGTGTATGGAGCGTGGAAGATAACACCCGTGTGGGCGCAGACAAACTGTTCCAAGAGCTTCACGTTCTGTGGGGGAGAGCAAGAGAGAGACATAAGGAGTGTAGGCAGAAGAGGACAAGACCATCAGAGACTGCCAAGTACACACTCCCCCTCCACATTCACATGGACCACCTAAGCCCTCTATGCCTCTCAAAGCACTACCCTCTTTCATGGCCCACTTTTTGTTCCATCAGCTTGCTGAACCGGTTCTTGAAAACTCCAGAAAACCTTTTCCTTATCCTGAATTTTCAACCATTTCATATGCACACCCTACATCCTGTCACTGAGCCTCACAGAGTTCTGTTCTGCAGGGGTTAAGTTTTAAAGCCAGCTCTTACGGACAAAAAATCAGGGATGATCAAATTTGGAAATCTCTGAAATCAACAAGAAGAACAAATGTAATAATGTGCATGCAAATAATATATATATTAACTAAGAATAATTTTACTGTTTTAATTACGTGAAATGACTCTCAGTCAACAAACTGCTCTTAACAAGAGACCCTTGAGGAAAAAGCAAGTATACTTGTTGAATGATAATGTCAGGCAGAATTACCTACACTATTCAGTTTGTAATCTCTCTCCCCACTTTGTTCTCTAGTTATAACCAACTATACACATAATTTATTCAGAGAAGTTGGAAGACTCCTGATGTGGCACTGTAGGATCAGCACAACACTTGAAACGGCAAGGTCAGCAATTCAAACCCACCAGCTGCTCATCAGAAACCCTTTACATGGTTGCTGAATCAGAGCTGACTTTATAGCACTTAACAATAACACATCTATGTATAGACTCCTTTGGAACTCATGACAGAAGGGAACTCGAACAGTTAACCTCACCAGACGACTGATACATGGATGCCACTTCCCTGAAGATCAGCCATTCGTCTTCAACTCCAGTACTACCTATCTCACAAGCTCAGAGCAGTTACCTATTATCAGTTTTTAAAAGTTGGCTAATTCTTTAAAGACTAAGTCATGTCTTTTTTAATGTTGAAGATTTTTTGAAAATAGAGTTTATGTTTTGCTTCAAGTACCCACTTTCTATCCCCAAATTTTGGCATGACATGTGTCATGGAATGGATTATGTTCCCCAACATATACTGTAAATCCTAACCTCTAAGCCCATGTTTATAAGACCATTTGAGAATGGGTTGTGTTTGTTATGTTAATGAGGGAAGAGTCATATAAGGCACACTTTGAGTCAATTGCTTTTGAGATATACTGTGTGCTATTGAGTCGGTTCCAACTCATAGCAACCATATATAGGGTTTCTGAGATCAGCTGGAGGATTTAAACTGTCAACCTCATGGCTACCAGTCCAGTGCTTATACTACAGTGCCATACCAGGGCTCCTTTTGAGATATAAAGAGAAATTAAACAACCAAGCAGAGAGAGACAGATGAGGTAAGAGAGATGCCAAGACACAAGATGTCTAAAAGCAGGAACCAGAAGCTGAAGAAAACAAGGGACTTCCTTCACAGCCACTAGAAGGAGGTTTCCTCTAGAGTCAGTGCTCTAACTTCAGACTTCTGGCTTCCTAAACTATGAGAAAATAAATTTGTTTGTTCAGGTTTATGTATGGTATGTATATCTGTTGTAGCCACACTGGTGGTGGTGTGCCATGGAGTCGGTTTCAACTCAAAGCAACCCTGTACAAAGTTTCCAAGGCTATAAACCATTACAGAAGCAAAAAGTCTCATCTTTCTCCGGCCGAAGAGCTGGTAATTTTGAACTGCTAACCTTGAGGTTAGCAGCCCAATTCATAACCACTACATACAGCCACACTGGATAACCAAAACGAAATTGAACATTGATGTGGTAACATACTAAAGAAAACCCCTGAAAATATTAAGTCTAATAACTGTAATGGATATAAACCTTTTAGACGTTATAAATCGGTATTCCTCTTATCTGCCAATTTAGACTGCAAATTTTATAGAAAATGGATGAAGTATATAATTCATTCGTTGAGAAGGAAAGAGGGGGTACTTATACTGCCAGAAACAGAAGAAAATCAGCTGAAGGGACACTAGGCTATGAAGAAGTGTGGGACACCTATCACAATCTCTTAAGCATTTCCAAAAACAAACCCGTTGGTATAGAGTTGATCTGACTCATAAGGCCCCCTCCGGGATAGAGGCGAGCAGCCTTATAGGGTTTCCAAAGCTGTGATCTTTACAGAAGCAAATTGCCACATCTTTCTCTCAAACAGCAGCTGGTGGGTTTGAACCGCTGACTTTCTGGTTAACAGCTAAGTGCTTTAACCATTGCACCAACATGGCAATTCCACTATTCAAAGAAGCTCCAAATTTTCATCCTTGAGAAAGGATCTCTGGCTCCTTACCCTAAAGTCAACATGCAACTTGTGATCCCGGCAGATGGGGCAAGGGTTCCCAGCAACTTTATTCCCTCGCTGTAGAGAGAAGAGATTGACAAGTGAGGATGTTCAAAGCCCAATCAGAAAAAACACTGCCATGACTTCTGTCCTCACTCCCTGTCCCACCCTCAGGAACTCACGATACACGTCTTTCGAGTCCTCTGTGGTGGTATGCCACCTTTGTGGTTACGACGATAGTTAGCCCAGACAGGGTGAGAACCATAGCGGGTCTGGTATTCTGAAATGCAAAGCAGCACAAGTTATTCTGGGTGGAGCAGGGGAATGGTCTCCTTCCTTCCCTATTTAGAGATACCTTCTGAGTCCAGGTATTTCCAGGGTTCATCCACATAAGGAGAAATGAGAGCTGGGGGCAAAGCATCTTCCTCAGGGGGTGCAGCTTTGGTGCAAAAATTCTGGAGGAAAACCTATGAAGGATGAAAATATGAGAACATGAGTTCAAGGATGAGCTCTATTATTTTGCTTCCCACATCTGGGAGCATGCTCATGGTGTTAATGGAATAAAGCAGGAACATACATGGAAGGTAGTATTTTTGTTGTGGTTAAATTGGCACAACTAAAAACTACTCTTCTTATCTCCAAATCAGATTCTAAAAGAGAAGCTGATTTATGGACTAGGATAGGTGACTGGGAAACATCTATTGGGTGCTGCCACGTGCTATGGCATGCCCAAAGACAAGTCGATGAAACCCAGAGGCCACAGTCATCAGGGACATTTCTGAAGCAATTGTCTTTGATGCATTCGTGCTTCCCAAGCTGTACCATTCACAACAAGGTAAGGTTAGACCGTCTCATGAAGCCCAGAAGGACCAAACACCCTCTCCCTAATTTAGACTTGCAGGTGTTGCCCTTCGACCGCTACCAAAGCCCATGTCAAGATTTGAACCCTTAAAGGCTGAAGAGAAACTAGCCTGCAAGAAAATAAAATGAAAAACACACTTCAATAAAGTTATTTGATGCTTTTTTGGGAAGTGAATTGAGTTTGGAGGAAACAGGAGAGAATGCTTCCAAGAATGCTCTTGGAAGTAAGATGTCTGGAAGGGAGGGGATGCATAGGACAGGTGAGGCCTCACCTCAACCCAATTCCAAGTCAATGAGTTGCCTAGACTCATAAAACTTTAAAGGTCAACATTCCATAAGAAAGAATGAGTCCTAACGCTAGCATTAAAGCTACCAGGCCTATCATTAGCTCTGTGGCGACCCTGTCTCATCACTCTTCAGTACCACTTTAGGGAGTGGCACCTGGGCAAGCCTTGCCATCTGACCCTGCCCCACCAAGAACCACCAAGGTGGTGAGTACCTCAGGCTGGAGGGTATCTTTAAAATGCTATGACAAGGGAAACCTCAATCCAAAAGATTGTGTTAATCTTTCAAGTGATTTGGTAAAATAAAATGAGCTGGGAAACTGGTCCCCCAGTTTCCTGATTTTACTGGGAAATAGAGTTGCTGATAGAAGGTAGGGTCCCTTAAGCCACAGACATCAGAGACGTCGGCACTATTTACATACGTAGTTTAGAATTAGGGTCAATTCCACCTAGCTATTTAGGAAAAGGATGACCTCCAACCTTGGCTCTTTGGCCTCGGTTTGGGATTGGAAAATGCGCGCAATATTACGGTGGGTGGGGCGAATACGACTGTGGAAGCAAAGTGTTGCCTAGATCACAGGTGGGAAACTCTCCACCTCAACCTCCGAATTTTCAGTAGTGGAACGACTCAGAGTATAAATGAGTTAGAAATATACAAAACGTGCTCCGGGGAGTTACCTGAACTCCGTAGGCCCTTCTGAACGGCGAAACACTGGGAAGCCACCTCAGCGGCGTATAAAATAAGGAGGCCGCCATCTTGATGTACGTCCAACGCAGGAGTGACGGAAAAGCGACTGCGCATACTCCAAGAACCTGACTAGTTAGCTCCAAGGACGAGTCCGCAGGGCGGAAGGCAATTGCGTGCTTGCGTCAGGACGGAAGCGTGTAAGGAGGGACCATGGAGGGGGAAGCTAATTTCAACTGCGTCACAATCGAATTCGACCTAAAAATTATGCTTTTTCCAAACCAGTCACTAAAGTTTCTAGAGCTCATACTTAGTCATTGCTTTTTAAGCTATTTTGAAGGCAATTTTTGACCTGATCCTTTTGGTGCGCATGCGCGGAGTCAGTTCTACCAACCCAGGGTGAGAAATGTTTGCGATCGGCGGAAGTAGTGGAAGCAGGGGAAAGGGCGGTGTTAGGTTCGCTGGTCACGCGCACGCGGGGGGAGCAGGAAGGAGGCGGAAGAAGGAGCCAAGGCTAAGGAGCCGAGCGAAGGCGAAGGAAAGCTAGCCAATCAGCTGACGAGTTGTCTTTCGGGTTGGCCAATGAGTTCACGCCTCGCGCACAATGTCTCGCGACAAGGGCGTGTCGCTAGCACGTTTAGGCGCGTTGGGCGGCGTCCCAGTATAAAAGACTCCGCCCGGGCGGGCAGCCGCCATTCTGGGGTTCGTTTAGAGGTAAGTTTTGGTGGTTTCTTGGCTGGTGGGCAAAAATTTGCGGAGGGTTTAGGATTAGGATATTGGGGTGGTAACTGTGGATTTGGGTAAAAGATGTAAATTTTCTAAAGCGGCTGTATTGGGGTTGGTAAGTGGTGGTGCATTTTGGGAAACATGGTACTTTGGGGTGTTTAAAAAGCAACCCGTACTGATTACATCTTTCTCCCTTGTGTTCTTTTATCCCAGGTTTGAATTTTCTCGGAGAAAGACAAGGCCGGCCACGAGGAAAAAAGAAACAAGCCGCAGCCAACAACTAAGCCCTTGAAAGGATCCTGAGGGGGGAAAGGGAAAACAGCCACCAACCCAACCACTTGTGTCTTCTGCCCCCCCTCCCATCTATCTTGCCCCCCCCACCAGCCCACGCTGCTTGGGACTTGAAATCTGTGGCCGAAGGACCGTCACCACATAACTGCAAAAATAATCAACCACCTTCCCTTTCTAAACCCACCCAAATTCACTCATCCAGCGGTTAATTTTTGAATCCACTCAGAATTTTTTTCTACGAACCCCCCCTCCCGAAATGGAGTTGGGTGGGGGGGAGATGAATACTGAGTTGGCCTTTGTTTTTTAAGAGACTTTTTGATCCAATGAGGCCCCCCAAATAATTGAGTTTTGGGTCCTGGTTGGTTGTTTTTTTCCTCCAAAATTTTAATCCCCTTCCCCCTGAGCCCGAAGTGCTGACGTCGCAAAAAAATTGGATAGTAAGTGTCGAATTTTCAAAAACCAGCCTTGCAGCAAGAAATCAACGTTTCCCGTTGTGAAACCAAAAATAATGAGAGGAAGAAATGAGAACATAGAATAAATAGAATTGGAGAAGGACCGATCCGGTCACTTAGTCTCCATTAAAAAGGGCCTTTGGGTCTAAAACAGTCTTGTTCTCTCCTCTACCACCTACCTCTTACCTGCCCAGCTGCAGGCAAGGAAAGGGTGGAGGGAGGGCCAGCAAGTGAGGATTTTGACGGTTAACCCTTGGTAATCCAGCCAATTTCCAGACTGCCAAAGCCATACGTTTATGCTTTTTATAAAGAGGAACGGCTACCTTCCTCTGCGTAGCTGCAGTCTTCAAAAGGGTTAATGAGCTCACATACAAAAGATGGTGGATCTTGTGGCCCAAAAGTCCCACTTCTTTGTATGTGAGACAAGCAGGCGCGCCTTTCAATTTGCCAGATTAATAAGCAATCTGTACATAAAGATTGCAGGGTAAGGAGATGGGCAGAGAAATAATAGCTGGCTATGACTTTATAAATGACTGTTAAATCCTCTCAATTTTAATGTAATGTGCTTGGGGTATATTTGTGTGGTTAAAATAAGTGGCAATCTAAGAATAAAGATTGCAAGACACTAGGGCAAAATATAATCTAAGTGCCAATACATACATGATAGTTGGAAAAGTGAAGAATGTCTTGTAATTGTTGCAGATTGCATAGGTTATTTAAAAGCAAAAATGATTAACATTTTTAACTTGGATTTTTTTATGAAGGGGGGATACAGTTAGAGGGTGGAAAGGTTGGAAAATGTGAAATTCAGTTTTAAGGCCATGTAGTGCATTTGAATGCTAGCTTTCTAAAAGATTTGTGTCGTTAAAAGCAAATTTTTTTCTTCCCTGCTTCAATATGGCGACTTTTCCTTGTCCTTTTGTCTCTTCCAAGCGGCGTTGCAGGTTGTTTCTTGACCCATTTTTCTCCTGTCCTCCCACCTCAACCCTATTTGTTGAGAAGGGTCCAAGTCCTCCCCCTTTCCCTGTATAGAGAGGAAGGGGGTGGTCGATGGTGGTAGGTTGAACTTCAAATTGCAAATTCAATTCACCTCCCAGAAAATTGCTTAAATATTTTAATTGTATTTATTCTCAACATCGCTCTTACTAAAAAAGATAACGTCCAAAGTGTAAGGGGGGCTTTTTTTTTTTTTAATGTAACAAAGGTTTTATAATGTAATCGTAGCTACCGGTAGAGCCGGGGTAGCTTTTTAGTTTTCAGTTCTTTCCTCCATTACAAAATGGCGTCCCTGCTTCTTTGTTGTTTTTCTTCCCCTTTGCCATCCAGAGCTTAGGGCCGCCCTAGAAACTTGGTCAAGGGGGCGGAGCAGCACTGAAAGGTGATGTAATCAGCTTTCTTCCACTCTCCACCCTCTTGAAACTCCACCCCTGAGCAGATCCGGTCTGGACTCAGCCAGGCTGCTGCTAGGGAAACAATATTGTCCTAATTTTTTTTTTTGATGTAATCTTTTATACTCTTTGTCTTAAAGATGGGAAAAAGGCTTATAAGAATTAGCACTTGCAGCTTTCCATCTGCTTCGGCAGCCTTAATTTTTAACATTCAACCCGTTGCTGTTATTTTCACATTCTTTTCACTCATCACAATTGGAAATTTTACCCATCTCAGTTGCCAGTCAAGCCTCAAGACTTAGCGGTTCTTGGGGCAGCCTGTGTGATTGTTATTTATAAGTGTGTTGGGGCATACTCAGACACAAGGGCTTGAGAAAGAGGAACTTGAGTAATAGGATCTGCTGGCGCCAAAATGTGCCATTTCTGCTCAGGATCAGTCCTTGGGCCTCCTGCATTTGGTCGTATTGTGTAATAGAATATGGGAAGAGTGGGTACTTTAGGACTTGATTCTAAATTGCCCTTATTCCCACCTCTGAGTTTTGGGGTAAAGTCTTTGCTGTATCACGTTCTCCAGTTGCTTAGCTCCTGTACATTGGTACTAGGATGAGAAGTGAATCTTTAGGAAAAAGAGGCGGCAGTTGTAAACTCAAGGCAGGGGGAATCAAGCTACAGTTTCTGGTAAGCAAAACCTTTCTGGTATTACATTTCACAACCTTCATTTCTCTTTTCCAAAGAGCCACTTAAAATTTTCTTTTTCTTCCCCTGCTTAAAAAACAAACCAAAAAAAAAAAGTTGATGGAAAAATATTCTTTTAGCTCCATTTTAACTCAATGCTGTAGCAGTTGGTGCATGATTGAAAGCCATGCCCCTTAACTTTCTTAACACCTTTTTCAAAGTCACAGATCTTTTTCAGAATCTCCATGTCCTTTTTTTATTTTGTAAAAGGCTGCATTGAATGGAGATTCTAGGAGGAATTGGAAAGCTATTTTGTACAACTGCCCTGAGGTGACATGGGCTAATTTTCTACTCACTATGGACTCTCAAATTAGTACTTGGGGATTGGATGGGAGGGGCTCTTCCACATGTCTATTGACCCAAGTTTTTTATCTTTTAAGCAGTTTGCCATGTGCCTCTGCAAGCCTACCTATCTTGGAAGCTGAGCATTCCATCCATTGGGGTGTTCCTGATCTCTAGTGAGCAGGGGATTAATAAAGAAGATCTTCCGTAACATGAGAGATGGGAAGCGAAGGTCTGCTAGGGAAACCAAATGCATCCAGACAACCTTGGAGAACAGGATTCCTGTAGTTGGGGATTCCTCCTTACTGGGGGAGTTATTTAATGTTCCTTATAAACAGGGAGGCCATGTACTGGGTTATCAAAATGACTGACAGGGGCTTACTATTTAGAAGTACCACTCTGTGAATCACCTGAGAGACAGTGCAGTCCACTATTGAAATATACCAGGAAATGCTAAAACACTGAGGAAGACTGGGAATATAAGGGGCTGAGTGTGAAGCATTTTCCTTTCTGGAAGTATAAAAACCCCTTTTAGAGTAAACCAGGATTTCTTTTCTCCTTTTGTTCAAAGATAGTTGTGATCTATTTTTTAGAAGTGGGGTTCTGACTTGCGTAGAATTTTTATCTGAACCAACTCATTCCTTTATTGGTGAGTATGGAGCAACTTGAGCCAACCTAGATATTTTTTCACCCTATTTACATTTAATTGAAGTAATCCTCAAGTAAAATCCATTTTGGAGTCTGAAATCTGTAACTTTCTGGACTATTTATATGATAAGTACTTTGAGGAATCCCCCAGTGCCTGTTTCTGCTCACGTCATATGGAAAGCTCAGCTCAGGACAAGATGAAGAAAAGTCTAGGGGGTTGCTTTTTGTCCCTCCTGTATGGTCTGCTTCCAAGGAAATTAGCAGTGCACTGAAAAACAGCATACCCTGGATTACCTTTGGTTCCAGAAAGCTGCCTCATGCTATAACTAGGCTCCAGGTCACTATCCCTGTCTCTTTGGCTGTCAGTAATGTTAGGTTCATTCCTTTCCACTTGAGTGCCTTGCATATTCTTTTAAAATGTGCTGACTTCATAGTAAGGAAACTAGGTTGTAAAATGCTGGGGGTAGGGGAGGGTGGGTCCTTAATCTTAAATGGAGAAAAACTCACTTTAAATCACATGATTGGTGCTTACTAGAATTCAGTTTGCTTATATTTCCAGAATAATCATGGCAAATGAATCTTAACATTGCTTCTGCTTTGACTCCTAGCTTCCCTTGGCCATTATGTTTTTTGTTCTTCGTTATTTGAATGGGAACTAAAAAGTTGTTTCTAGATCCCATTTTTAGCAATGGGAAACTACACAGAATTAAACCTTGTGCTCATTGGTCCCTTTTTACTCTCTGGGAATGGTGATGTTACTCCCACCCATTTAACATGAAGGACCATTTCAGCTCAGGTGACAATAATTTTTGAGTTCTGAAGGAAACTAGCTGTTGGAATTAACTTGGTAATAGGAGTTCTCCATAGTTACGTACGTATATTCAGCTCTGGGTGTGAATTTGTGAGATGAGTTATTTAGGGATGGCTGGTTTAAAATAATCTTAATTTTATTTAAAGCTTTTGTCAAATTCCATATATTTAATGTGCAACCTAATGGTAGGTGTATATGTATACGCATATATTTCGTTCTTGGTTATTGATACATAGTTATTTTGGACCCGTTCATTTGCTTTTCTAGTTTCCAACAGATGGAATATTTAAATTATAGTATTTATATAACTATAGTTTGTGTATATATCATTTTATAGTGTCTCAACTACACGAGCACGGATTCTTTATCCTTGTTTCTGTCTTGATGTAAGAATTGGGTAATTCAACAGGTTTGACCCACAGATTTCTGATCCATATTCTACTTGAGTATTTTTTCCTCTGACCTCAGGTTCTGCTTGTCCTCATGGAGGTTCCAAGGCAGAAGCAACAACACAGTTAATGCAGATTTGTTCATCTCAGCATTTCTTGCCTCATTTCCTTTTCTTCCTATGTTCATACCTACAGGGAATCTGAAGAGCTAAGTCTGTACCACCATCCTATATTCCCAGGCTGCCTCCTACCTGCTTCGACCTTTCTCCTTGTGCTATTAGGGTCTATACATTTATTCTATTTGTTGTTGTTAAGTGCCATCAAGTCGGTTACGATCCATAGTGGAATAGGGTTTACAAGGAGCAACTGGTGAGCTTGAACTGCCAACCTAGAGGTTCAAACCAACTTTGAAGTCCATACAGTGCATTAGCCCTCAGTGCCACATTTATTCTATTAGGAGTACTAAAAGGTTGAGATTGTTAACTATTTTGATTTGCCATAAAATAAATTTGCATTATTTTCTAAAACCTGTTCTTTTTGCACAAAATGTAGCCATCTTTGTCAAAGCAAAACCCCTGATTTCTACCACCCCTCTGCTGGGTTGCTGTTGCTTGCTATCTCTGTACTAAATGCAGGAGTGTTTTTTTTTTCCTAATATCCTTCCTCTCCAGTGTTAGCTTTATTTCCCAAGTGCAGATCTTACTCAGTTGGCTTTCTTTGTGCTTCTTGGAAACCCATGTTTTAGAATCATTGCAGTTAAAAATCTCAGTCAGAACCATATTTATCTGGAATTAACGTCTCTGGAGCTTGAGTACTAGCCTAGAAATTACTTAACACTTTTCTGTCCCATGATATTAGTTTAGCTTTTAGTTAACTAGTTTTCTAATCAGGTCAAAAAGCATTTTTCAAGCCTTTACCTTTGTTTGCTCTATTCTTGCCAACTTAATAGTTTCTAGTTTCAGACCTTTATTGTGACTTGGAAGGATATGTAATTTGAGAGGGGGGTGGAATAAGAGATCAGAATCTTTTTTTTTTTTTTTAAGCTATAAATCTAGCTTGCCCATAATTGTGTAAAAATAAACACTTGTTCATTGTTTGACTGATGAATTACAATTTTTTCAAGGCTTAGGTAGACCTGCTTGATGATTTCCTTTGCATCCATACGTCTCGGTTTCTTAAAGCTGCCCCCAATTCCCCTGGGGAAGGGTTGGTTTTCTTCTGCTTCAGTTGATTGTCCACTGGTGCAAGTAGTGAATACCCTGCTACTTTTGGTGACTATTAATGGGCCAACCTTAAAAGGTAATGGCTCTTACAAGGCATTAGCCCAAGCACCTAAAATAGGCCAGTTCTTGCCAAGCTACAATTGGGTTTTGTTTTTTTTTTTCAAGCTAGCCAAATTTATCAGCATCTGAGAAGACACAAATCCTAAAAATAGCAAAAGATGCCTTGGAGAGCTGAGCCTCTTAGAATTATTTGACTTTGAGCTCTTTAATACGTCTAGTGAAGTTCAGCTGTTCTTGGAAGGATACAAGTGTTGGGGAAGCACAGAAACCTTGTGCATCCACTGTCATTTAGTTGTCCTCCCATTCGGTATTAATCCTGTGCTTAATGTGCCTGAACTTTTTTCTTAGTATTAATACTGGTCAGTGTTGATTTATCTAGAATGGCAAGTATACTTAAATATGTCATAAATCATATTTTGTCAAATAATATAGATGAGATTTATTAGTAGAAGTTATATCAGGACTATCTTGCCACTTATATTTTATCTTCATTTTAGAAACCACGATCATGGGTTCGGGTCCCATAGACCCCAAAGAGCTTCTCAAGGGACTGGATAGTTTCCTTAACCGAGATGGGGAAGTCAAGAGTGTGGATGGCATTTCTAAGATCTTTGGGTAAGTCTGTTCCCTTCTTAGGATACATTATAGGTAGAGGATATTGAATGTTGTGATACGGCTCCAATTAAGGCAAATAAGAATGAGTCTTGAGAGTAAAGAGAAAGTCTGTGGAATTGAATTCAAATCAAATAATTTTAAGATAAGTCATAGGTAAAGATGATCTCTTGGTCCCTGGCTGTAGTAGAAGTTAAAGGTTTAGATGACCACAGTCTGAAGGGGATCACACTTTGGAATAAGAGTGACAGTATTCTTGGTTCTGTTTTGGGCCATGTTCCAGAGACCCAAAATGTCATTTTTGTTTCTTATGGATCCTCAAGTTTCCCTTCAGAAGGAAAAGCAAATGACCAAGCCACTCTTGGACAGACCATAAAGGGATGGTTGTTGAGGAATAGGACTCTTCACCTGGAAGCAGGATCAGATGTGTCCTGTGTATTAGGAAAGCAGTGATGTTCTGCTCCCCGATCAGAGACTTCAGGATCTCCTTAATTTGCTTTCATTGTCCTGTGGTTTTCCATGTCACTTTGCATCCATCCCACCCTTCTAGAGGCCTGTGTGACCCTCCCATTTTCTAACACAGTCCCAAGTCATCAGTGATCTTTAGGCACTCCCACAGATAACAGACTCATCTTCTAAGAGACTCTCTGAGTGGTCCATTTCTAACTTTAACTCCTCTCCTACAGTCTGATGAAGGAAGCACGAAAGATGGTGAGTCGATGCACTTACTTGAACATTCTCCTGCAGACTCCTTCACCAGAAATATTGGTCAAGTAAGTAGGGATCTGGGTGGCTAGGATGGGAAGATATACATAGTTAAAGAGGTGGGGGTGGGGAGTTTGTGAGGCATGGTATTCCTGGATTATCTAAGGGAAACTAGGAGTATGGGATGTGGTGCTTCCAAAAACCTGAAGAGAGCTAACAAATTCTTCCTATTTGGCCCACAGGTTTATTGATGTTGGTGGCTATAAACTTCTTAACAATTGGTTGACATATTCAAAGACAACCAACAACGTTCCCCTTTTGCAGCAAATCCTATTGACCCTGCAGCACCTACCACTCACTGTGGACCATCTCAAGCAGGTACCTTCATTCTTCACAATCCTGATTCTTCCCTTTTTTGTTTAGCTTAACAGCTGAGAAACACACTGGTATGACTGCAGTCATGGGCCTTGTGAGGTAGAATACAAGTAAAAAACAGGAATTTGGAATCAGAAGACTTGATTCAAATTGAGCTTATTTAATATGTGTATGTTATTGTTATTAAGCTCTGTCGATTTGGTTCTGTTACGATTTCCAGGGAGTGGCTGGTGAGTTTGAACTGCTGACCTTGTGGTTCAAATTGACCTTGCTTGCAGTTTAGTGCTTTATCCCACAGCGCCACACCAGGTCTGGAGCATATCATATATTTGAGCCTATTTTCTATAAAATGGGAATAATTGTAACTACCTAACTGGGCTGTTTTAAAGATTAAGTAAGGCTTGGAAAAAGTAAAACTACCATATGAATGTTAGCTGCTACTGTTAAGGGACTACTAGAGAGAGTGAGTTTGTGTGGGCAATTTTGAGTGGGCATATTTTCCTCCTGGCATTTACCTTTCTGCTGCTCTCCATCTCTCCTAGAACAACACAGCCAAGCTGGTGAAGCAACTGAGCAAGTCAAGTGAGGATGAAGGTAGGGTGCCAGGCTTACTATCAATATTCCTTCTGATACTTACTGCTATGTTTGCCTCTGCCTGTTTTTTCTCTAATTTTGTTTCTGTCTTTTAGAAAACGGTTAGGAGAAGAGCCCAGGCACTAGCTTTCAGTCTGGATACTCTCGTTTTTTAGTTTTGTGGCCTTAATCTCTGTGAAGAGCTAGTGTAGTTCTTAGCATACACTGTAATCAATCTTAATTCTTTTCACTTCTGAGTGTTGTGAAAGCATCAGAGTTGAATGTTGTCTGAATTCAAAATACAACTCTGATTCATTGTTTATAGAGTGTGGTTTTCAAGACTCATGTTATTCTAACAACTCTGGATGACTTTATAGTTCGGTCTTTCACAGTACATTTTCAAGTATCACTATTATTCTACTACTAGAGGAATGTTTTCATTTATTCTGACAGTTCCTCTTTCTTCTCTCCTTCAGAGCTCCGGAAATTGGCCTCTGTCCTTGTCAGCGACTGGATGGCTGTCATCCGCTCTCAGAGCAGTACCCAGCCTGCTGGTAAGCTCCTTCAGTCTTGATCCCTTATGTTTATGTCTTTTCCCACTGTGATGTAACTTCCTGGTTCTCCTCAGACTGTGACAGTCTTTATATAAGTAAAAGCCTTTTCATTGTTTGTTACAACAGAAAAAGATAAGAAGAAACGAAAAGAAGAGGGAAAGACTCGAACCATTCCTCTTGAGCGACCCTTGACTGAAGTAAAGACTGAGACCCGGACTGAGGAAGTCCCAGAGAAAAAGAAGGAGAAGCCCAAGTCTCTTCGAACTACAGCACCCAGTCATGCCAAGTTCCGCTCCACTGGTAAGACTCTTTGCTGTCTTTGTGAGGTCCATGGGCCTATGCTTACCCAGAGATTTGTGACTTACGGTGAAATAGTTTGATTTGTGATTTGCTAAACCCGGGAAGAAGGAAGACTAGTTGAAGAATCTTTGTGGCAGGGCTGGAGTGTACAAGTTAAATGAAGATTTGACTTGGTGGGATGAAAAGGGAGAAACGAGGAAGGTAAGAGGGATGATGAGTTCAGCTACCCATACCATGTCTCTACCCCTAGGACTAGAGCTGGAGACACCATCTTTGGTGCCTGTGAAGAAGAATGCTAATGCAGTGGTGGTTTCTGACAAGTACAACCTGAAACCCATCCCCCTCAAGCGACAGAGGTATGAACCGTGTTCTGGGTTTCAGAGTGGTGTGTGAACCTAAAACGGGAAGGAGTCATAGCACCACGTAGTGATGGGGTATTAACAGTCCTCTTTCTATAGTTCTGCAGCTGCTCCAGGAGATGCTGTTCCCCCCGCAGAAAAGAAATACAAGCCACTTAACACAACACCCAACGCCACCAAGGAGATCAAAGTGAAGATCATCCCACCACAGCGTGAGTCTCAAGTAGGGGTAGAATGTACTTTGAATTAAGGAGGACTTGAGATGTTCTATGGGTTTAATTTTTTCCCTTTGAGATCTCAGTTCCCTGTAATGTTTGCACCTCTCAGCTCTGCTTTCATACTTCATTAGGAGTAATTTTGCAGAGTATTAGGAAGGCTGCCATTCAATGACTAGTTAGAGGCACTCAGAGCTAAGCAGGATTTTGGCGTGCACTCAAATGCTCACATCATCGGATATTTGAGTTTTAATTCTTACCCAAAGCCATGGCTATTTTTCCTGCCCAAAAAAAGACATCATAATAAGAACTTTTCATATGAATCTACTGCATGTATACCCTGGCCACCTTGAGGTTATTGTGTCATAAGTTGAGTCAAAATCTCCATTGATCCAATTTCTGCCCAACTTTTGTCCATAGCAGTAAGATTGTGAAAGGGGTTTTTGATGATTCCATTTTATGCTTTTTCCTTTCTTAGCTATGGAGGGCCTGGGTTTTCTGGATGCTCTCAATTCAGCCCCTGTTCCGGGCATCAAAATTAAGAAGAAGAAGAAGGTGCTGTCACCAACAGCTGCCAAGGTACAGGCCTTGAAAAGTGTGTCCCAGGGACAGGGTTGTTGTTAAGTACCGTGGAGTCGATTCCGACTCATAGTGGCCCTGCACAGGGTTACCGAGGCTGTAAATCTTTACAGGAGCAGGATGCCTCATCTTTCTCCCGCAGAACTGCTGGTAGTTTCGAACTGCTGACCTTGAGGTTAGCAGCCCAACTTGTAACCACTACACTACCAGAGCTCCTTAGGGGACAGGGTTGTTGTTGTTGTTGTTAAGTGCCATCGAGTCGGTTCCGACCCATAGCGACCCTGTAACAGGTTTCCGAGGGTGTAAATCTTTACGAGAGTAGAAAGCCTCATGTTTCTCCCGCGGAGCAGCTGGTAGTTTCGAACCGCTGACCTTAAGGTTCACAGCCCGATTCGTAACCACTACGCTACCAGAGCTCCTTAGGGGACAGGGTATTAGGGATAAAATAGAAGGAAGACACTGCAGCTAGGAATGATATTGAAGATAACAGTAAAAAACTTCAGTTTCAGATTGGTAGGGTGGGGATAGTGTTAGAAACAGAATCCTCATTTATGAAAACCATTGGGGGATCCTGTCTAGGACCTTGGACTTACTGCCTTAACCATCTTGTCAACTCATTAACTTCTTTTCTTTCATAATAGCCAAGCCCCTTCGAAGGGAAAACAAGTACAGAACCAAGCACAGCCAAACCTTCTTCTCCAGAACCAGTTCCTCCTTCTGAGGCCATGGACACAGAACGTCCAGGCACCCCAGTACCCCCTGTTGAAGTCCCAGAGCTCATGGATACAGGTGAGTCTAGAAACTGTTAAGGTTTTGAGGGTTGTTGAAAGGCAGGATCTGGGTCTGAAACCTTTTATGTTTATTATAGCCTCTTTGGAGTCAGGGACTCTGGATGCTAAGCCAGTGGAGAGTCCTGGAGATCCCAGCCAACTGACCCGTAAAGGCAGGAAGAGGAAAACGGTGACGTGGCCTGAGGAGGGCAAACTGAGGGAATACTTCTATTTTGAGTTGGATGAAACTGAACGAGGTAAGCAGTTATTTTGCAATAGATAGGTGTAGGAAAATTTGAAAAGAACTAGGTGATACTTAATTTCCTTTTTGCTTCTTTTCCCCCTGCCAATAGTAAATGTGAATAAAATCAAAGACTTTGGCGAGGCAGCTAAGCGAGAGATCCTATCAGACCGACATGCATTTGAGACAGCCCGGCGTCTGAGTCATGACAACATGGAGGAGAAGGTGCCCTGGGTGTGCCCTCGGCCACTGGTTCTGCCCTCACCACTTGTCACCCCTGGAAGCAACAGCCAGGAGCGGTACATCCAGGCTGAGCGGGAGAAGGGGATCCTTCAGGAGCTCTTCCTAAATAAGGAGAGGTGAGCAGAATGGAGCTCCTGCCAGGGGATGTGGAGCACTTGGCATTCTGTCCTGAAGGGAATATGGCCTGGAATAACTGAGAAAGGGGGACTGGAGGTTGGAATAAGTCTGCTGACGAACATTCTTTTTTCTTCTTTCACCTGCTACATTCCTGATAGTCCTCACGAGCCTGATCCTGAGCCCTATGAACCCATACCCCCTAAACTTATCCCCCTCGATGAGGTGAGTGACACATGCAGTCGGCGGGGAGGGGGGTTGGTGGAGGTAGAGTGAGGATGGAGGTGGGGGTGGTGATTCATTGTAACATGCCTTTCATGTAAGAATGTGTCAACAATTTTTCTACTGATCTACTTTCAGGAATGTTCCATGGATGAGACCCCATATGTTGAGACCTTGGAGCCTGGGGGGGCAGGTGGCTCACCTGATGGGGCAGGTGGCTCCAAGTTACCTCCTGTTCTGGCCAATCTTATGGGAAGCATGGGTGCTGGGAAGAGCCCCCAAGGCCCTGGAGGAGGAGGCATCAATGTCCAGGAGATCCTTACTTCCATCATGGTATGAGTTCTCTTTGTTTGCCCTTCTCTATTTTCTGTGGAATTTCCCTTCTAGCTCCCTTTGTCTTCACCCCACTTATCCTACATTTTTGCCTCTCCCTGTTTCTATCTTTTTCTTACCCTTGCTGTCTATTGACCTTGCTCTCTCACATCTTCCTCACAGGGTAGCCCAAACAGTCATCCCTCAGAAGAACTGCTGAAACAACCAGATTATTCAGACAAGCTCAAGCAGATGCTGGGTAATGAGGGCTCGGGGAGGAAGCTTGTAGTGACGTTGGTGGGGAAGCAGGGTTTCACAGACCCCAAAGAGCAGAGTGAGCAGAGTATTCCTACTAGGCAAGAAATGTGAGGAGAAGCCTGTGGACCAAAGAGGGCATTGCTTTCTAGGTTGGTCTGAGAGGGCTGATTGGGGTCCCTCAGGGCATCAGAGCATATCCCTGCATTCTTTGGGAATCATCTTACTGACAGTTGTACTCCCTTTTTCATTGCAGTGCCTCATGGACTCCTAGGCCCTGGTCCAATAGCCAATGGATTCCCTCCTGGGGGCCCTGGGGGTCCCAAGGGCATGCAGCACTTCCCCCCTGGCCCTGGGGGACCTATGCCAGGTAGGTCGTGAGTGAGACATAGGTGTGGGCTGGTCTGATTAATTTAGGCCTGGTAATAAATAGTGTAGAGTTGACAAAAAAGGTTAGGAGGGTGGTGTAGGTTAGGGCATGGGAGTTCTTGAGTATAACAGTTAACTGATACTTTTGTTTCGTTTTGTTTTTTTAAATAGGTCCCCATGGAGGCCCCGGCGGTCCTGGTGGGCCAGTGGGTCCACGTCTTCTGGGCCCCCCACCCCCTCCCCGGGGAGGTGATCCCTTCTGGGATGGCCCAGGCGACCCCATGCGAGGTGGCCCGATGCGGGGTGGTCCAGGACCTGGTCCTGGCCCCTACCATAGAGGACGTGGTGGCCGAGGAGGAAATGAGCCGCCTCCTCCTCCATTCCGCGGTGCCAGAGGAGGTCGCTCTGGAGGAGGACCCCCAAATGGACGTGGGGGTCCTGGTGGGGGCATGGTTGGAGGTGGAGGTCATCGTCCCCATGAAGGCCCCGGTGGGGGCATGGGCAGCAACAGTGGACATCGTCCCCATGAAGGACCTGGTGGAGGAATGGGTGGGGCCAGTGGACATCGTCCCCACGAAGGCCCTGGTGGAAGCATGGGTGGAAGTGGTGGACATCGCCCTCATGAAGGTCCTGGACATGGCCCCCATGGTCACCGGCCTCATGATGTTCCTGGTCACCGAGGCCATGACCATCGAGGGCCACCCCCTCATGAGCACCGTGGTCATGATGGCCCAGGCCATGGGGGTGGGGGCCACCGAGGGCACGATGGAGGCCACAGCCATGGAGGAGGTGAGGGTGCACTCTGTCACCTGTATGATTTGGTGTCCCATATGTTTCTTGGGGAATCGGGAATAATCAATATTACGGGTTTGCCAGACCGAACATGAGATCTGCCTCCTTATTAGTTTCCCAGCATGCATGACAGTTTTCCCCAACCCCCAAGACATGTCTCTAACATCAGGAGTCCCTGGATGGTTGGGGGTGTGGGTAAAGGGTGGCATTCACCTCTTCCTTTCTTATCTAACCAGTCCACCATCATTCCCACAGACATGTCAAACCGCCCTGTTTGCCGACATTTCATGATGAAGGGCAACTGCCGCTATGAGAACAACTGTGCCTTCTACCACCCGGGTGTCAATGGGCCCCCCTTACCCTAGGGACCATCTGTCCACCCCACCCACACAACTCCCTGTGGACTGCAGTCTTGCTCCTTCCACCCTGTTATGGCTTCTGTGAGGCCCATTTTCCCCTTTCCCCAGCTGATGAGGAGCCGGCCCCCTCAGTTCCCACCTGCTTGGGTTCCTGGGGGTTTTCTGATCACTGGTGCACATTGATGTACATATTTTCCTTCTGTCTGGGGAGGAGAGAGACTGGACACATCCTGTACCCCTGGACTGCTGAAGAGGAGACCCAGTTGACTTCACTTTTTGAGGAGATTCGCCCTGTACCCTAAACCCCTTTCCAGTATTACCCTTCATGCCTGAGAACCTAACTCTGGTTTCCCTGGAGAACACTTGCTTTCCTATGTGGATCCTCCACATGCACACAGAACTCTGATGTTGGATCCGCCGCACTTAATGAAATCATCCCAGTCAAGCTCATTACTCCTCATAGGCAGGGGAGGTGGCCAGGGATATTGTCTATGCCACTGCACTGAGAGGGCTCAATCAGGCTGAATTTGAGTTCTGGAACACAGCATTCCCACTCCTCCCCTGCCATGGGCTTAACATTTGGAGTCCTTTCTCAAGACTTTGTAACCTATGAACATCTGTCCCATCGTGGGTCTACTAGGCTCAATGATGGCATATCTGCATCTGCATCCAGTGAAAGTTTTAGTTGGCACAGGTGAGGACCACTGTGTTGGTCTGCCTTAGCTGACAGCTCATTCTGGAGACTTGGTATAACACATCAGTGAAACCAACTTTTCATCAACTTGGGCCCGCACACTGGCCCTGATGTCACACTACATGCACTGCCTCTGGGAGCCAGCCCACTCTACTTCCCCCACCTGGAACCTTGTCAGTGTGAGGCTTCCAGCTCCCTTGCCCTGTCAGCCACTGAATCCCTGTCAGGTGCCACCCTGAGTAGATTCAAGATGAGCTTATCTTTTCCCTGCCCTTCCCTTTATCTGTCTCAGCATCAGTTGTTTTCTATGAAAACAGTGGATTGGTTGGGTTTTGTGCAGGGTCTTGGGTTAGAGCCACAATGGATTTGAGGATGAATATTTTCTTTTTCTTTTGGTTTTGTATATTTTGTACATTAATAATAAACAGTGGAAAGAGAAGCAGCTTATTTAATCCCTGGTGTGTTTGGACTCTTTTAAGGAAAAAAAACTGGCTATCAGCTGATAAAGACATTGATGCAAATCTTTGTAGTCTCAAGTGTGAGGCTAGCACATTCTACTGAGATTTGTATGATGCAATGGTAGTCAAAATACTGATTTGAACCTAGTGATTGACTTAGGAGGGGTCGGGTAGAAGAAAGGAGCAGGAGGGAGGAAAATCCAGGAAGAGTCTGTGTAAAGAAACAGGCTTCTTATTACTGATTTTCAGAGCAATTTCAGTGGTAAAAGGAAGAAGCAAGAAAGGGAAATGTCAACTGCACTTCCCAAAATGGTTCTGTAGAAAATACTGGGCTGCTGCTTTGTTATGTACTGTTGAGTCCGTTTTGACTCAGGGAGCCTACACAGGATTTCCAAGTAGTAGTAGCTGGTGGGTTTGAACTGCCAACCTTATGGTTCACAGCCCAGTGCTCTTATAATGCCACACCAGGAGTCCAAGGGTGCTGCTGCTTAAGTGCCGTCACGACGGTTCCAACCCATAGCAACCCTGTGTAGGGTTTTCAAGGAGCAGCTGGTGAGCTTGAACTGCTGGCCTTGCATTCAGACCAACCTTGCAGTCCAGCACATTAACCCCACAGCACACCAGGACTAGATGTACTAAAACGTTGGTTTTCATTTTATAAACGTTCTTTGTATTATGTATCTGGACAAGTGAACTGAAAATGCTAAATGTAGAATGTAATATGAAATATATATGTATTTTTTGAACTTTTTTGTGTGAATTGAGTGAAGGTTTACACAGCAGGTCGATCATCAGTTTTACATTAAAAAACTCAAATAGTTTGCTTCATTACATTGGTTGCAATCCCTTCCATGTACCAACACTTAAAAGTATTTAGTTCTGTTCCCTTTACCTCTTGTATGCCTTCCTGTGTCTCCTGCTACCTTCATTTTTGCTGTTATTCTCCATGTATATTGCCTGCCCTGTCAGCCGTGTTAATACATGTTTATCCTTTTAACCCATAAATCATTTTCTCTCCACCTTCCCTCCTGTAACCATCATAGATTGTTTATTTTGTCAAGAACATCTTAACCTTTTTACAACATTGGTCTCATACACTATTTGTCCTTTTGTGATTGACTAATTTCACTCAGCATAATGGCTTCCATGTTGTAAGGTGTTTTGCAGATTCATTGTTGTTATTCATTGTTGCATAGCATTCCATTGTGTATACCAAAGTTTGCTTAACCACTCTTCTGTTGATGGGCATTTAGAATGTCTCCATCTTTTTGATGTGTCTTGTAGACAGCATATTGAAGGATCCTGTTTCCGTATCCATTCTGCTCTATCCTTGACTAGTACATTTATTCTATTTATAGTCAGTGTAAATTAGCAAGTATGAATTGATTGCTGTCATTTTTCTGTTTTGTGATGCTGCTGGTTTTTTCCAAAGTTTCTGCTCTGTTCAATTTGTTTATGGGCTTTCATTTCTGTTAATGTTTACTAAATCTTTCTGATTTTCCTCTTTATTTTGATGTGCAGATTTATTTTCTATGAGGTTACCCTGCAATTTATTAATTTTTCTCTGCTTAAAAGCAGTGTTTTATTTTTAAATGTATTTGGACTTGTTTGCCATTTTAAAGATCTGTATCTACGCTTCCATTCTGTTACTTTGTAGTTGATTTTATTATGAATTGATCTCTGGTTCCCTATTTTTAGTCTTGTAGGTTTGTTTTACTTCACCAGTTGATGTAAAGTGCCATCAATTCAGTTCTGACTCATAATGAACCTGTTACAGGGTTTCTAAAGAGTGGCTGGTGAGTTTTAAGAATTTCTATATCTAGATTGAGTTCTAGGATATGCTGTTATGTAAGGTAATCTCAGATTGTTGTCTGCTGTTGTTGGTTCTCAGTCCAAAGAACACCCTTTAGCAATTTTTGGTCTGGTTACTCTGGTCATTACAAATTCC